CGGGCGTGCAAGCTCACGGGTGCGCTGGTAGATGCGTGTGCAGGGCACGGGATGGGTTTTCCAGCTGCCACAGCATCACTCCTCTCCATGTCCTCTGCTTAGACCCCGTCCTGGCTCAGACGTGGGCACTTACCCCCGTCCCGTATGGGCACATCACCCCCACCCCGGTGTGCTGTGAGTGCCCAGGAGGGCACATGGTTCTGGGATCGCCCATGTGCCCCGTCTGCCGGAGCTCACTCGAGCATCCCTCGAACACCCTGGGGTGACGTGGGGCACTCACGGCCCCAGCCCCATAGCACCGCGCACATCTCCCGACCAAGCGAGCAGAAGCGAGCCGGCCGGGGCGGCTCCGAGCGAGCAGGGCACCGCGGGCGACGTCGGGGCGGGAACTCACCACTTGATGAAGTGAACTCTCTTGTTTCCCTGCAGAACGACAAAACCGAACGGAGTGAAGGCCAAAAACGCTGCATTCCCCGACACGTCCTGCAAGACAACGGCCATTTCTCAGCAAAATGTTGCCAAGCTGATAGAGCAACGGCGACCCTCGGCCCCGGAGGCGATGGCGATGCAGAATCCTCCGTGCTGACTCTGGCAGCGGGATGCTCCCGGCAGGTTCACGCGGACCGTGACACCCCACGCACCCAGAAAAACCCGCAGCTGAGTCACGGGGCAGCTGGTCCAGCAGCACTAAGGAGGAACCGCAACGCAGGTCCCAGCCCCAGCCGTCCCAGCCGCTTACTAGTGAGGAATAAACAGCAAAAGCAGTGCCCCACCTACCCTCTCACTAGTAATTAAACTGGAAAATGGTAAAAACCCGTTACGCTTGACTCCCTCCAAGCCCTGCACAGCCAGTGCAGCTGGGCGGCAGCGAGACAGCTTAAAACCAATAATTAGTGTCATGTACGGAGCAAGGCGGGAGTTTAACTTAATCATAACGTCTAGACTCTGGGGAAGCAGTCATTAACTGCACTGCTGTGCACGGGAAAACCAGAGACACACGGAATTTCAAAAATATTATGAAACAGTCGTGGCCGATTGGTAATTGTTAGATTCGCCCTGACTTTTATTGAGCCGGCAGACGTTGAGATGCCTTTCCACGGATGCTGAGCCGAAGGGAAGGTGCATGCCAGGCTCGGGATTTCTGGTGCACTGGGCAGGAAAAGCAGGTAAGGAATTTTACAGGGGTGGTTGCAGAGGAGCAAGGCCTGGTTGGTGTCTGCGATGTTTTCTCGGGGCAAAGCACGGCACGGGGTGTCTCAGCGGTGTCCGCAGGGCAGCTCTGCTCGCCACTGGGACGCCCCGCACCCGGGATCGCCCCAGCTCAGGAGTACAACACTGCCTTCTACCCCCATGTGTGCCCTTCCCTGGCTTAATCGAGGGGACACATCTCTGCTGTTCGCTCTCCTCCCCAGGATGCCGCTTTGGGGTTACTCGGCTGGCACGGCGCAGGGACGGCCACCTCACACACGTGCCGGGGCTGCGCAGGGAGCCAGCGCTGTGATAAGATCTTCTGAATTTGAACAGAGAACAAATCGGTTTCAAATCCAGATAAAGCCATCTTAATCTGTCACGGGTGAATGGCCGAAAGCAGAGCCCCGAACCTCAGCCCACTGCCCCGCACAAGGCAAGATGTCAATCCCCAAACTCATCGTGCCCGAGACGCAGCGCCCGCTCTTGCGGAGGAAGGCAGATTTCTGTGCACCTCCGCAGAAACCAGCGCGGCAGCAGCTCCTGCAGCTCCGGCACTGGGCTGCCCAGAGCGCTTTGGCTCTTTCCCAAACCTGGGAAAACCTTTGGGAAAGGGAGAAGCAGGGTCTCAGCAGAGGGATGTACCCACTGGGGGGGTACGGACCCCCTCGCCCCTGCACACCACCGACACACCGACCTGCTCGGTCCTGCCCTGGGACTGCTGACGCTGCAGCGAGCGGGACAGGTCGGAGACCAACGGAGTGCCGGGCTGGAACCTGCACTTCCCCGGTTTTGGGATTGCTGCTTTGGGGTGGGAGGAGCGGGGCCGAGCTCCCCGC